TGATATTATTATTTGATGTTATTTTTATTGTGATTCAAGAATACTGTCAAATTCCAAGTGATTCATATGCAAGTTTGAATTATAAATTAGTAGGTTTACTATAATCATCATATTTGTTATATGATCCTCAATTCGATATAGGAGTGATAATAATCAACATTATTTATATTTTTTCAAATTAAAGATACTCGTTATTTGGGAATTGATTTTATCGAGTGATATGAATTCTGGTATATTCTTGTGCTTCTCAGAATATTTCGTTTGTCATCAATATTTCATACTAATTTGAAATCTGTTTAATGAAATATTGCCAGCTTAGATAGGAACCAAACTGAGTAGCAAATGAAAGTCAGTTGTGAATTGAGTCAATTTCTAATGGATTTAAAATACTGTGAATTTGCATATAACTCACTTCAAATTTTGACAAGTATTCCTCACAATATCTTTGTATGTTACTGAAGTATAATGCCCTCGATAATGCCTCATATAATAAATGATTAGAAATTCAAATCATTTATTCATATATTTCGAAAAACAATGATCATGGAAATTTCGAATAAGTATTAATTGAGTTTTCAAAAATGCTGCTTGCAAGATTAACCTTGAAAGAAAGAGTTCAACCAATTGGTAAAAAAATCAGTTAAAACAATTTCTCAATTTTGAATCAACAATGCCAAATTTTTACATGCTATGAGGTTTTGCATATATCAAGAATAGAGGTGTTTTTATAATTTTTGTAAATCAAAGATTATTATTATTCTTACCGTTATTCATTTTAGAAGATTGCAGCTGCTCTTGCTGCTCACACTCCAAGGTAATACAGGGTGGCCAACTAAGACTCCAGAGTTCGATACATCTGTTGTAGATACAAAAAAAAGTTTCGTATCAAAATTGAAGTGATAACCGAGATTCACATTTCAAAATTGCCTTGAAATATACAGGGTATTCCATAAGGTCACAGCACATAAAAGTTATGTTTTTTTTTCATTGGAACACCCTATATTTTATTTCAATTTTGAATTCTCCCTGAAAATCTGAATTCAACGATCCATCATACTTATAGGGTCTACCAGTAAAAATTACTGACATATAGGGTGTGCAAAATCGAGATTGTGCAATTTCAGGATTTTTTTCTATTATTCATAGTTGGTAAAAATGCTTTACATGTTCCTGTATCAACTTCTTATTCTCTATCAATTGATATTTAATCAAAACAAATTATAAATTTAGATTTTTCGCCACCCTGTATCAATTTCAATTGAACACCAATTGATAGTGAATGAAAAGTTGAGATAGGGACTTGTAAACCGTTTTGACGATTAATGAATAGTTTCGACACAAAAAAGGTCCTGAACTTGGGAAAATCTTGATTTTTCACACCCTATATCAGTAAATATAACTGCTAGACCCCAAGTATGATGGGTCGTTGAAATCAGCTCTTCAGGGAGAATCCAAGAATGAAATGATATATAGGGTGTTCCTATGAAACAAACATAACTTTGATATGCTGTTACCTTATGGAACACCCTGTATATTTCAAAATAATTTTGAAATGCGCAGCTCAGTTATCACTTAAATTTTGATACGAAACTTTTTTTTGCATCTTTCAAGACAACAGAGGAATCGACTCTGGAATCTCAGTTGGTCACCCTGTATGTAGAAACATGTTCACTGAACTCAGGCAGAAATTCTCTTGAGTCCAGATTATAGGTTCATCTTGCAAGTAAAAGCGAATACTTATTTTTATTGACCTGAAGTTCTCAGGGTTGATAAAGGCAACATTATACAGGGTGTTTCAAAATTCATTATCACGATTTCAAGGACTTATTTTTCAGGTCAAAATAAAACTTTTTTCTATTAAATATGTGTCCGCGAACGCTTAGTCTCCGATATACAGAGCGTTCAAGTTTTTTTTTATATATTGTTTATGTACCTTTTATAAAAATACAAGGTTCGTTAGATTTTTTTATCTTCCAGGTAATGTTCGAAAATAATTAAGATCCCAAACTAAATAATATGTAGCGTTTTTTTCTCATTGTTTCTAAAGTATTAATGAAATCTAGTGGATTACAAAACAATTTTTTGCACGATAACGTTCGCAGAATCGTGAAAGTTACATGACAAAAAATTTCATAAACAACAAAAAATTCATTTTCTAACGCTCTGTATATCATTAACGAAGCGTCTGCGGACACTTGTTTATAGAAAAAAAGACTTATTTTGGTCTGAAAAATAGCCCCTAAAATATTGATACTGAATTATGAAACACCCTGTATATTTTATGAAAGAACAATTCGGATTCTAAAAATATGACAAGAGATATTCATGTTCTGTCTAAACTCATCAACAAATTCACCGTTATACTATTACAACCGAATATTGAAAAGAAAATCAAATTCAAATGCATTTCATCACACATAATCATAATGTTCTGTACTTCAGTAGCATTATTTCTCTGGAATGCAGTTTTTAACTATTTCACGGTCATTGTTGGAAAGTTAAGGATCACATGAAGTCATGGTTGTTTGGTTCAAAAATACTTAACTGTGATAGTTAAAAGTCAATAATATTTTATATAGCTCATATCAATTTATTTTCAAAATAACCTCGAAAGCATTTTCATGACTGGTGCCTTATTAGTAGTGACCGATAAAATAGTTATAATTCTGTTAATATTAGGGGATATTTTACACAAATAATTGAACAGTTACTATTTGGCACACAACTGTACACTTTATGGCGGGAAATCAGACGTAGACAATTTTTTTATTGAAGAGTACCTAGCAACTTTCTCCACTGTCACAAAGTACTATATGGTGTTTCATTTGATTTCATCTATCATTATGGATTTATAAAAAGAAGTTTTTGTATGTTTATGTAAAGGGTGACAATTTGGCAGAGGGGATTTGAATAGCTGTGTGTAAGGTATATTTTTTCGTATTTAAACATTTTTCAACCCATTTCAAAATGTCAGAATTGACGTCAGATAAAATATTCTTTCCACAAAGTTGCCTTTTCTTCCATATTCTGAAAGAACATATCTTTTTAAATAAGTTTCACCCAAAAAGTTATTTTCTATGTTTATTTGACTGACCCCGCCGTAATGAAAATCAGCGGGGTTTTAGTTTTAATCTATTTTAATATGAATTCAAAATGTATTCCAATTCATATTGTTCACAAAACAATTTGTTTCTCGACCGACTTGATTTTTATTACAGCGCGGTCAGTTGAGAATCATTTGAAAATGCCAACTTTATAGTCCTATAGCTATCAACCTAATGAAGATAGAAAAATACTGTTTGGATGAAATTTGTTGAAAAAAAATATGGTCTTCCAGAGTATGAGAAAAATATTGGGACTGTGTAGGAACAATGATATTTCTGACACCATTTCCGCTATTTTGGATAAGGTTGAAAAATGTTTGAATACGAAAGAATATACCTTACACACAGCTTTTCAAATCTCCTCTGCCAAATTTACATTTGCCGTTTTCCTTTTCATGTTATGATCCAAGGGAGAGAAGTTTAAATCACCCTGTACAATTAAAAGCAAGCCATTCATAAAATCTGATCAATGTAGAAAAAACCGTTTTAACAGAATCATTCTCCTTAGTAACAATTGTTTCGAGTTATTTTACTATATTCATTGAAAACTTTATGAACTCTGAATATTTCCAAAATAATCTCGAGAATACAAATGTTCCGCCAACACACTACAGAGTAGCAATACCTTGTACGAGTTTTGTCACCTGAAGATTCAACTGTGTTAGGGAAACATACTGTGTTTTTGAGAAACGTGGAAACCTCTCATCTTCCCGATTCCTATAAACAAATATCGAATACACTGATCGGTATCCTATTCGAATAACAGTTCAAGCACATCTTTGTATATCATTTTGTATGCATATCATGAGTCCAATATCATTTTTCCAGATATGTTCATCAAATTCAGAAACACGCTATCACGAATGAAATAAGTTGTTTCATTAATATATGAATGTCTTTTTATCTGGAGTATCCTGTATATTTCTATGAATTCTGGAAGTTCAGGTCATCCTGGTAATAACGAATAATAGTGGTATCCTCATTTCTGATTTCTGTGTTACTTGTATTCCCTGTATATACCAGCTGTTCCGTCTAAACCGCACATTAGGCGTACTTGAAGATCTAAAAAAATAACTGATCTGAAAATTTGTTCACAGGGATCGGTTCAGTCTTTTTCAATGAAAACAATCTCAAGATGATAGCACTTCCGGTTGAACCTGGAGTGACATTCACTTTTTTTTATGGAACACGCTGTATATTATTGCATTTTAAATACGGGGTGGTTGCAGATTCAGAAATTTGATCACCCTGTATCTGCTCCAATTATGGTATATAGTAAATCAAAAGTAAAGATAGGGACATGTAAGCCGTTTTGACCAATAATGAATAATTTCAACACACAGTATATCAAAGGTTGAAAAGTCTTTGAACACCCTATATCTCTGTAAATCATTCACGCTAGACCCCAAGTGTGATATATTGATGAAATCAGCTCTTTAGGGACAATCTTAAAATGCAATAATTATCAGGGAGTTCCATTTGAAAAACGAAGTTATTGTTACTTCCAGTTTAAACGATAGTGCCGCCATCATGAAAATATTTCCATTGAAAAGGACTCAATCAATAACTCCTGTATACACATTTTCGGATCATTGTCATTCTTGGAACTCCAAATACGTCTAATGTGCGATTTAGACGGACAGCCTGTACAAAAAAAATACTGCAGACCGACCCATCAGTGTATGTGATTTCTGTTTAATTAACCTTGCAACATAAATGTTCTTCAAAATACTAATTCTTCACATTGTGACAGTGGAAGTAGAAAATCCAGTTCCAATGTTGTTTTGTATTTCCTCCATGAATTGCACACAATGTAGTTACTTTTTACCCATGCCAGGACTTTGGGAGTGTTTTTGAGATTGCTAATGTTCTCCTTTTGCATGTGTTTTTGTACAGAAGCTAAAAAGCAGCGGAAGAAGAAAAGTTTAACAGGTGAATAAATTTTTTAATCTTTATACCAATACATTAAAATAACATTCTGTAATTATTTTAACTTATACATATAACTATTATCAATAAATACTGTTGTTCTAACATATTAATTTAAGCATGATCAAAACATTTTGTTATGCTTGTTATTTGTTATTAGGAATGGCACAAAATTCACGATTTCGGGTATCTGCATGAAATCAAGGAAGCCTTTTTTTCGTTCATTTTCTGTCATTTATCGGATTCGAAACTAATTAATCTCAAATTAAATGTCTTGTTATTAGGCTACGGATATTATCATTTCTGGAATCTTTCGCATGTAGCTTGGAGAAATGCTTTAATCTATCCATGCAGATGTTCCAAATCGTGAATTCAATTTGTTGGTTTATCGAATGCTTTAGTTATTTGTTTGTGATAGATGAAGAAAATGTAACCGGCAACAGTCACATGAACTCACCTGCCCCAGTAGCTAACAAGCACGAGCAGCAAGATGGCAAAGAAAATCATGTGCATGTGGAGAAGCCAGCATCGGAAAGTCACAAGAAGGAAAAATCCGTTCTACAAGCCAAACTCACGAAACTGGCTATTCAGATCGGTTATGCCGGTTCGACGATAGCTGTTCTGACCGTTGTCATTCTGGTCATACAGTTCTGTATCAGTAAGTTCGTAATTGAACATCAAGAATGGAGGAACTCTTATGCCAACGAAATGGTACGTCACCTCATTATCGGTGTAACGGTACTTGTCGTTGCTGTGCCTGAAGGATTACCCTTAGCTGTTACTCTATCTTTAGCTTATAGTGTTAAGGTAAGGTTATTGTTTTATCTAGTACATGGGTCTCCAAACTTTCCAGCCTTAGGGCCATACTGATTTAATTTTTCTGCAATTATCTTTAATTGCTAGACTAGTAGCCCTGAGTGAGCATATGCTTGCCAAATTTGCAGACTTTGATGTCACTGCAAATGGTATTGAAATTTTTCAAAATCTTTTTGATATTGACATTGAAACAAACCCTAGGCCCTGAACTTCAAATGGAAAGTATTGATTTACAGTGCAGTGATATAAATTAAGAACAAATATCAAAACTCAGCATTGTTGAAATTCGATAAGTCTTCCACTAGTACGATTTGATAAATTCCATAAATTCTCTCGTCTGTTTTCTGTTCTTGGTACTAGAGTCCGATCACGTTAACTTTGGGACACCATTCGATGCATACACTGTCCCAAAGTCAATTTGGACGGAATACTTCAAAATGGAGTACACAAAGTATGTTTACAGATCTAAGTTAACCGATGAGCATCTTAAATCTTAATAATTGGTACAAGTAAAAATTAGCCGACAACTACAAACTATTGTCAGTGTAAAATCACAATTACATAAATCTCCGAGGGTGCTTGAGTTGAATTTTCTGCGTATTATACTTGTCATTAATCTATACCTAGCAAGTAAATAAATCAGATTCATTATCATTCTGTTTTTGTTTTTTTTTTAACTTATCACAGCAACAATAAGCTATTAGCTGTCGCGGGTCGAATAGATGACACTGGCAGGCTGGATTTGGCCCGAGGGCCGTAGTTTGGAGACCCCTGATTTAGTAGATTAGTAGATCATTCAACGCAATAATGTATTATGGTAGAGAAGCCATTTTGTCCGTTTTGAGGAAGTGTGCTCATTGGTGTCGATGTTGAGGGTTGTAACAGAAAGAAAACAATGTTAAAAAAACAGTTTTTAACTTTACAAATGAAGATTCATACAGGACATGCATTTTTCTCTCTTCTATCATATTTCACAAAACGTGTATTCAGCTTGGTCAATCTTCAAATTATTTATGGTGCATTGGTTCAATTTTCAAATTATAAATCCATGAATTGGAACTCCTTGGTTGACTTTTTGGAAATAAAAAAAAGCAATTCTGGTTTTTCAATGACTTCCGAATTTTTGTATGTTTTAATTTTTATTTTTTTTTTCAAAACAGGCTTAATGATTTAGATAGATTTGGGTGAAACTAAATTATCTGGTTCAAGAAAGTAGGTGATGTACTGAAATTAAGCTTTGGAGACCGTACCCGAATGCAATACAAAAATGTTCCCAAAATTCCACAAATATATGTAGACATTTTCGATATCGTGTTCCAGCAGCTGATAGTTATAATAATACACGTTCGAACAAGGTGTCTATCGAAACAGATTACAGAGATATAAGGTGTTCAAAATCGAGATTTTTCAACTTCAACTTTTCAACTTCATTTTTAGATACTACCTGAAGAGCTGATTTTTTCTATACATCTCACTTGGGGTCTATCGAAAAAGAAATCAGAGATATAGGGTGTTCAAAATCGAGATTTTGCAACTTTAGGATTTTTTTGTGTCGAAACTTTTTATTATCGGTGAAAACGGCTCACATGTCCCAATCTCAACTTTTGATTCACTATTAACTGATATTCAATCGGAACATATACGGGGTGGTTCAAAATTCAAAATTCTGATCACCCTGTATCTGTTCCGATTAAATATCAGTTAATAGTAAATCAAAAGTTGAGATAGGGACATGTGAGCCATTTTGGCCGATGATAAATAGTTTCGACACAAATCTAAAAGTTGAAAAATCTCGATTTTGAACTCCCTATATCTCTGTAATCATTTCCGATAGACCCCAAGTAGGATGTATCGATGAAATCAGCTCTACAGGGAGAATATAAAAATGCAGTGAAATACAGGGTATTCTATTTGAAATAACAAAGTTGTTGCTACTTCTTGATAGAAGCGGCAACACTGCATTGCTGAAAATATTCTAAATGAATGAGAGCGTATTCTAAAATATAAGCATGCATATTTTCATGGATTTCTCTTGACTGATTCTCGATCTAGAGATAGTGTAAGCTCGTCGTGACATACCTTGTATATTATCTGAAATTAAGGAATCTGGTAAGTTGACGAACCCATAGCTCATCCACTCGTCAGTTGTCTAAGTGGCTAAGTTAGCTCAATGATCAATCTTTCTCCCGAGAAAGTTTCTCGTTTGGTAATTCCATTGCATTTATCAAATTAAGCACATCGAACTTGAAGGGATACTGCTGATTCATTCGTCGTAACTTTATTGTTTTCGAGTGTTTCAATCACGAAAACATTGATATACTTACATGAACTATTAAAGAAAGAAATATGAAGTATTGTTTTCTAATAAACGGGTTATTACCAGATATTGGTCATTTATTTCAAGAGCGGATTTGAAAATGATGCCAAAAGAGAGATCCAATATTTTCGAAAAGTCTGGAAATAAGTATGTACTATAGAAGGAAATATACGCTAGATTGCCATTCTCGGCATATTGGAAATGGCAAAAATTAATCAGAATTCCATATTTTTTAAATACAGCCAAGTTCTTGCAATATTTTTATCGAACAAAGTTTTTCGCTATGATTTTCTTAGTACACATGTTCACCTTTTCTGATTCAGACATGGCATCTGAACAGTTTGAGAAGTATTTTCATCAATCTTGTTGGTGCTAGCAATGAGTGAACTAAAATCTATCTCCAATTCCACATAGAACTATTCACTTTTTTTGAAGGTGGTCATCAAAGCAAACTGCTCAGTTACATCGAATATGACAAATTAATTGCCGAAATAAGCAGTCAGTTGTATCTATTATTATAATATTATTGTGATATTTTTGGTTCATTTTGAATTTCAGGTTGGGTAGGGTCTCGAAGTTTTCTAATGCATTTGCCGAACACTGTGGATCGTATTTAATAGATGTACCTAAATCAAAAATTTCCTGAATGTTTTGTTCCATAAAATTGATGTTCTTATTACTTTCAATGTCATGTTACTAAATATCTACCAAATTGTTGATGGATTCCTATACAGTTCACTAATATTATATGAATTTTATAGAATTTTTTATGAAGAATGAAATAAAACATAATTATTTTTTAATGTTAGTGGGTACCATCTATGTGAAATTTTCTTTCAGAAAATGATGAAAGACAACAACTTGGTTAGGCATTTGGATGCCTGTGAAACTATGGGTAATGCAACGGCAATCTGTTCAGACAAAACGGGTACTCTAACAACAAATCGTATGACAGTTGTTCAATCTTACATTTGCGAACAACTTTGTAAAACCATGCCTAGATTTTCAGACATACCAGCACATGTCGGCAACCTCATCCTTCAAGGAATTGCTGTGAATTGTGCATACACGTCACGAATCATGGTAAGAATATATGAATTCGTTCGATAGTCTACTTCTAGTGTTCATAATGGAGATATTCCGCCTATACATAGGTACTAGATTCTTCTGCCATAATTCTAATTGGTGATCGAGATCGACCAATCGAACCAAACATGGCAATTTTTATCCATAACATTCCTTATGACAAAATAATTATGAAGTCTGCACATACCAAAGTATTCCTACCAAAGCGGCGATATTGGTTCTATCAATAACAGTGTCGCAACAGCTGAAACATTCACAATGAAGTTGAATTGGAAAAAATCCTTGTTTAACTCTGAATTATACACTTATTTGTTATTGTAAGGTAGGTACATACATATCAAAATAAATAATTGGAATTATTACAAGATGATCGTGGCGGCACCGCAAAGTTTCGTAGTAAACGAGCAATAACCGTCATAAAAATGACATCTGTCGTTTTCGTGGTTATTAATGGTTCTCTTGTTGTGTGTGATTAGTATTTGATGATAAGGAACAATTTTTAGCGTCTACTGCCTCTGTGAGATCATCCATTTCGAATTCATACATTTTCCCAAAGTATTTGAAAATAATGATAATATAATTTTTATCGACTCATACCTAACCATTCAAACGCACCATTTCTGCAAGAGTGGCCTACATTAAACTTTTAGCCTCTCACAGGGTTTCTTGCAGTGACCCGCGGCCAGTAAATTTTAGTAAATCGGAACGAAGTCTCAAATTATATAAAAATCGCCATAGGGTACCTCGAACATTTTCAAGCAGACAAATTTTAATGTCTGGAGTCTGAGCAACACATATTGATAACTACTGTTGCTGAATTAATTATAAATACGTTGTCTTAATTGAGTCTACATACGATTTTGAAGCTTCAAATACCCTGTCCATTCTATTTTGGTTATTATATACGCAACTCATCTCCAATCATGATCCTCTGCAAGTGGGAGGCATGTGCCGATTTGATAATTCTGTTTTTGTTATAAAGAATGTTGGTTTGACCTCCATAGAATAAATAGTATTAAACTTTTTTGTATTGTACATTAATCACTGAAATCACATCTCCGATTTTTTTATTGATTTCCAAACCGCATCATCAATGACAAATATTTTTGCAGCCACCGGATGATGGTGGAGAACTAATGAAACAAGTTGGTAACAAAACAGAGTGCGCTCTGCTGGGCTTTGTTGCCGGTCTCGGAAAGAGCTTTCAGACGATAAGAGACGACATTCCTGAGGAAGTCTTCACCCGCGTCTATACTTTCAATTCGGTGAGGAAATCCATGAGTACCGTCATACCCAGACAGGAGGGCGGGTACAGGTTATTCACGAAAGGAGCCTCCGAAATCATATTGGGCAAGTGTTCCTTCATCTACGGCCACGATGGCCGTTTGGAGCCCTTCACTGCTGACATGCAGCAACGGCTGCTTAAGCAGGTCATCGAACCCATGGCTTCTGACGCTCTCAGAACCATCTGTATCGCTTACAGGGATTTCGTGCCCGGTAAAGCGGAAATAAACCAGGTCCATATAGATAACGATCCGAAATGGGACGAAGAAGAGAACATCGTATGCAACTTGACTTGTCTGTGCGTGGTTGGTATCGAGGATCCAGTCAGACCCGAAGTACCTGACGCTATCAGGAAATGTCAGAAGGCTGGCATCACCGTGAGAATGGTGACTGGTGATAACCTGGACACGGCCAGATCGATAGCTACGAAGTGCGGTATCGTCAAACCTAATGAGGACTTCTTAATCTTAGAAGGCAAAGACTTCAACACCAGGATAAGAGATAGTAATGGAGATGTAAGTACCCTCGTTTGCCTCAGAGTTTCACGATGTGTTTTATGTTTGGGTTAGGTAACAAATTCATTAAGTAGGTATTGTTGTGAGAATATAAACTCCATTTTCGAATAGATTACTCAACAAAACATCATAGTGTGAGCAGCAACTATCCAAACTTCTTTCAATTAATTCTTGGAACCAAGCTCAAGTCCTCATCAAATAATGATTCTGCTAATTCATCGTCTTATAAAAGTAAGGTTTTAGTTTAGGTATATCTTTCCTCTGCTATTTGATAAACTCCCAAGTAACATACTCTTGGGTTCTGCAGACATTAGTGGCATTCTTTTTGACAGCCGGAGTTACACTAGAGCTACTCCTGGGTTCCAATCTAGGCTTTGAGCTCCGGTACAACACCGCTTCCCTTTCCCTGCCCCCTCTTGCATATGATCTACCGCGTACGTGGTGCAACAATCACTTTCGGCGGAATTTGAAAATCTTTGTTAATTTTATGTTTGTGTTTTGAACTAGAACAATTTCAAAATGGACACAAATACCAAGAAATTTCATTATTAATAATATTTCCACATAATTTTCAATCTTTGAATGTTTTTTCTCGACTCATCATCATCAGAAAAAATCTTGAAAATACTCTCTGAAGCTGAAGAACTAGTTGATTCTGACATGCTGGAACAATTACCTGGTCCAAGTAATTTCTCAATAATCAATTCGATATAATGGTAACTCAACTTTTTTTGCTCAATTTACTCACTTTCAACAACATTTCAGTTTCAGAATCAGACATTCCCAAGAATAATTTTAATAAGCTTTAAATATTGATAAGGAACAATATAACAATAATCACTACTGACTTTTCGATTTCAAACAAAAATTCAATCAAAACAACATGAAGGCGCATGCTCTACACATTAATAATAAAATGTTCCCTAAAATCCGTTCTATTTGAGAGCAGCACCGGAGCTTCAAGCCGGGTACAGTTCGTGTGCTTGGCATAACAAAAAGAAAGCGCCTATTTTTACATATCATCAATGAGATTTCTGGAAGAAGTAATTAAATGTTCTGCATGGCATTAGTCAGGAAAGTAGTTGTTTGTTTCGTTGTTCCTTTCATTGAATATTCCTGGAAATGACTGATTTTTTTCAAATGGTGTTGACATTTAATCCACCTTGAGAATTCCGGCTATTTTGTAGTTTCATTTAGATAGATAGGTGTCCTCTCAGACGGCATAGTTCTGTTAGGATTTCCAGTTATCGGAACTTGTTTTTGCTTAGGTTGATGCAATCGTTAGATTTCCTCAGGTGATAGTCTCCCAGAAGTGTCTTTGCTTGCCTTATCCTTCGTAGGTCTCAACAGTGATTGGATATATTTTCAATTGAACTAGATCTCATAACTAAGAGATCTATGATGAACAGAATGACCCCAATTGTCAGCAGGACCGAGACAGTACTGTTTCGGCCCACCAGGCCTCATCAGCTACTAACGCCGCAAATGGGGTTCCAAGTTTTCTTCCTTTCACCCTATTGCACCTTGGAACCCAGAGGAGGATGAACTTGCTATTCTTGATGTTCAGCTCATTCAATATCTCTTGGATTTACGAGACCATCTTAGAGCTCGCAGTGCTTTGATGGCTTGACTATTCACCATGATGCTTGACTATCTGCTGTGTTGATGATATCTCGTCTACATACTACTTTCATGGACCGTAAAGTGTGACTTTGATATTTGTAGGTCCAACAACACCTTCTCGACAAAGTCTGGCCTAGATTACGCGTACTTGCCAGATCATCCCCAACTGACAAGTTCACCCTTGTAAAAGGAATAATCGACAGTAAAATAAGTGACAACAGGGAAGTTGTTGCTGTAACTGGTGATGGTACAAACGATGGTCCTGCATTGAAGAAAGCTGACGTTGGTTTTGCAATGGTGAGTAGAAGATGAGATTAATTGATTTTCCTGTAATAATTATGATTTTTTACAGGGTATTGCTGGTACCGACGTAGCGAAAGAAGCTTCTGATATTATTTTGACTGATGACAATTTCAGTAGTATTGTAAAGGCTGTTATGTGGGGTAGAAATGTTTATGACAGTATAGCTAAATTTTTACAGTTCCAGCTTACTGTCAATGTTGTTGCTGTTATTGTAGCTTTTATTGGTGCTTGTGCTGTCCAAGACAGTCCACTAAAGGTAAGTTACTATCAATCTGGATTCATCATCACAATTAATTAAAAATATTAGCTCATAAGATCAGGTACTTCAATTGTGATTTGTTATTTTAATACTATTTTTCCAATTCAGTTTTATAAGTTCAAGATTTATGTATTTCAGCACAATAGTTCAAGAATTATCTTAATTTGTACAACAATTTCAAAATGACATTCCCTAAAGTGTAATTAGATAACTACCTGTCTACATTATAGGCACAAATAGAAATATTTTCTCTTGAGTACTCAAATCTTCCTTTCAGGCCGTACAAATGTTATGGGTAAACTTGATTATGGACACATTAGCTTCCCTTGCTTTGGCTACAGAAATGCCGACTGGAGATTTGCTTCTCAGGAAACCCTATGGCAGAACAAAACCCCTAATCTCCAAGACAATGATGAAGAACATCTTGGGGCAAGCAGTCTACCAGTTGACTGTTATCTTTGCATTACTTTTCGTTGGTACGTAACATTTTTGGCCGTATCACAAACCGTTGATTTTGAATCACAGATACATATTTGAATCGCAGTATCACGAGAAAATTACATACTCACAGTGGGCAAGTCCCCTGAACTAGCAAATATTTTAGACAATACTCAATTAGGAAGGTCATTTAGCTTCATTAACAAAAGTACAAGAAACATGCAGTTGAGCAGGAATTCGCGATTCGCAGTTCATTTATTAAGTATAGTAGAGAGGCGACTTGTCGTTGTTGTTGTTGTTTTTTTCACCTGAGGTTGACAATTGTCGGTGCTGTAACATAAAGTACCGTGGAAGGATAATTTCGTAGCTCTTATCGTCACTTTCATCGATGTTCTTAGAGGTATTGTCGCCGCGATATTTCTGGATTCTATGTTTTTTCTGTAGGTGACCGATTCCTCGATATTGAATCTGGAAGAGGAATAGCCGGCCATGGACCATCTCAGCACTTCACCGTTATATTCAATTCCTTCGTTATGATGACATTGTTCAACGAGTTCAATGCGAGGAAGATCCACGGTCAACGTAACGTCTTCCAAGGAATCTTCACTAATCCTATCTTCTATTCGATCTGGGTCGGAACATGTGTATCACAGGTATTTCTTACTTAAGTGTGAATGCTTCAGTCGATTTTTATGAATGTTTTGTTTCTGTTCGTTCAGGTTTTGATCATCCAGTACGGCAAGATGGCGTTCTCCACGAAGAGTTTGACCTTGGAGCAGTGGCTGTGGTGTCTCTTCTTTGGCATGGGAACCCTCGTCTGGGGACAGCTCGTCACCACACTACCAACGAGGAAAATGCCGAAGATCCTTTCGTAAGTAGAACTTTTCAATTCATTAGTAGATGATATATCTTTTTGACGAATCGGTCAAGCGCAGGGCAGGCACTCTAATTAGCGATAAAAACGGTACCTATAATATTTTTTACGGGCATCTACCCGTAATAGTTGTATTAATAGTTATGTAATAGTTCTCAGAAATAATATACAGCACCCCTCTATATCTCAGCTAGGTACTAGTCGTTTGATTCGTACCATATTTTGACAGGTATGAATAATCATTAATATGATCAGTTTTTCAGAGACGAACGTCCTTTTGGACAGTGCCGTGCGTTTTTATTGAAATAAATAGGGGACTGATTTTTTATGAAATCATATGTGAAATTCTTTTGCAGGAAAAATTACTTCATTTCATATTATTGAACCTTCATATGCAAAAATTCACCTCATTCCGATTTAACAGGATTGGCTTTTTTTCTGCATTGCAAATTAACTGCAAATTATGGGACGTAGATCCGGTAGGTAGAAAATTGTGATTTGAATGAAATAACAAGATACATTTTTTATTGTTGAACTCACCGTTTCAGAGTTAATGATTATTTACAGTTGCAAAAATGCTGTTTAGATGTACCTGTTTTTTTAAACCCTTCATAGAAATCATTCATTCATCAACCATAAAGAACAATTTTATGATGTCAGGTTTCCTGTGAAGAACTGTCTAATATGATTTCATGATAAAATTAATCCTTTTTATTTTAATATAAAAACATACGCATATCATAGAAAAAACTACCTTCTTTGAAGAAATTGTCTCTCAGAAAGAGATTTGACAATATGCTGTAACGAACCAATGCTATGGATATCTCTTCTGAAGGATATCCATCACAGATCTTTGATGGATATCTTCAATTCTTAGAATATCTTGACCAGAACTGGAAATAAAACGGATATCTATAAAATATCCGGTGTTATGTGGGGGAGTATTCAGATTATAATTTCTTCACTCAAACATTCATGAGTATAGTACGTATATGATAATGATATTTGTTCTTCGTTGGTTTAAACCGAATTGCCATCGACCGAGAGACTTCAGCCAGTGATTAAAAAGTTAGCAACAAATGGAATACTTTTTTATTATCAATTTTAGGAAAAGAAGTAATTATTTTCAAAAATTTCTGCAAGGGTTCTTTCAAGAAATGATCACCATAATACTTTTCTCCTCAAACTTGAGATACTCCTGAATCGATATTAAAATCGGAAAGACCATTGAAAATGAATTTTCAGCGAGTTTGTCATCGTTACATAAAAATAATACGGTGTTCAGACCTGACAAATTATTGGATGATAGTTCATAGTGGCCATTTTATGTATATAATGATAATGTGATAATTTTTGAAAATTGAATCAGAAGCTTGATAGGTCTATACGGACGTGATATAGTATTTGGCGGTAGCCTTTTCCAAATTAATTTAGGTATACTTCAAGCCATCAGGTATGCCCCTTTTATATTAAATATGGTACACCCTTTTACCTCACCCTTTACTTCCCAAATTTACTTTGACCTTTTTCTAAGGGTCCTTCAATTAAGAAAAAATATAACAATGAACTTTTTTCGAAAAAGGATATTATATAAGCTTTTGAAGGGTCGATGATAAATACCAAATTGACGGTGTAATAGCTCACAAAAACTGTGAGTTATCACTTTCACTTCCTTTATAGAATTCAGTTGATGCTTCCTTCCATTAATTTTCAGAATATGTAGAAAATGAAAAAGCTAGGGGTGAAATTTAAAGGAATACTGCTCAATAAAAATACTCCTTATACATAGTATCTAAACTATTCTAAACGGATGTCTAAATGATTTATTCGATTATGAAATAAATTTTTATTTTACCAGTATTGACGAAGCTACTGTATTAGCGAAACATGTCGTATGACAAGGCCCTCCGCTCACGGGTCGATCGGCGACATGGGCGACGCGATTGCAATGACGTCACAATTTCTGCATTCGTACGATTCAAGAGACGGGAGTGTGTGTCATCCGCATATGGGTCGACGTTTTGTGTAGTCGACTCGCGTCTGATCAACTTATGGCGAGATTCATGTTTTTGTGGCACCGAAGACAACGAAGTTTATGGGTGCATCCGTACATTGCACGAAATTTTCACACTCGACTTTTTGTTACTGCAAGTGAAATGCAAGAGAGTGACACAAAATTTCTGGCATTTTATAGAATGTCGAAGGAATCATATATTGATTTAGTGGAAACTCTTGCTCCAGCCATTAATTATATGGATTCAAATATGAGGGAATGTGTCAGCGCAGAAGAACACATACTAATAACATTGATGTAAGATTCATATACCTATTTCAAAAAATCAAAAAGTTCCTGAAGTTGAAAGTATAAATTGGAAACATAAGATTATATGTTCTAGTTACTGAAAGTAAAGAACTAAGGTAGGTAACACAAATATTCACAATGATTGAACAACTTTCTCCATTGAGACGCAAGATTCACTCGATCAAACTGCTTCCTTGCTAATCGCGTGAGACTGAAAACGAGGAGATCTTAAATCGTACGTTTCTAGACGACCACTAAACGACCCGTGTGCGGGATCCAGATGCTTTGCTTAGGAAGTCGAGTAGAGGGGAGACCGTCGTACGATTCGAATCGCGTCGCCCATGTCGCCGATCGACCCGTGTGCGGAGGGCCTAAGTATTTTGTGAAAATCTCGTCGTTTGTGAAGTTTTTACATTCGCTATGGATTTCCATCAAATTCAAAATTCAGGACAAACTCTGTTTGAACTCTGCCTCTGACATAACACCTTCATTATAGTATTATTATATTTATTGAATGAATATGTATATCATGGTTTTTGTTAATAAAATCGAAATTATTATTATTATTATTATTTTTATTATTATTCGATCCAGGTGGGGTCGGGGTCATCCTGATGAGACCACTATCAACATCGGGGACGAGGGGCTCGACCTCGATTCTGACAAGAAACCGCGCGCAGGTCAGATTCTGTGGATCAGGGGCCTGACCAGATTGCAAACGCAGGTAAGTGAGCGTTTCTTGCATATTCGATGCGAAGAGTACACTTGTGCAAAATTGTGATGTGGTTACACGATTTTTGCACCGGTAGGTAGGAGGATGCACCTAGGCAGAGCTGAAAGCGATAAAAAAAATGAGATTATTGCCCGGACAACCTCTGTCCTACAAGAGTGCGAGTTTCATGAGTAATGTAAATGAATGATTGATATTTTTCAACAGAGCTCAGTGGATTTTTAGGTTACTATTCAGGCAGAGGGGGGTGTTATGCTATTTCAATAGTACGGAAATTCACGATATTTACTTGTAGTGAACCCATATAATTTTATGAAACTATGGCAAAAACTGGTTATTTGGTAAGTTCTGATTACAAACGGTTATGCTTTTTTTTAAAGATGAGGTGGGTGTCCTCACATACTAGTTTCATATCTCTAAGTAAGGCACGTTGTTAATCTATAGAGCGTTGACGTGCATCAGGAAGATGTAGCTTTTCCAAGATTTATCCATAAAAATACTATAGGGCTGGTACGGGAAATCATAACGAATTATATCCAAGTTTTCTTTTGCAAATTTCAATACTCGAAAACGAAGCTTTTTCGGAAATATGCTTATGAAGCAAAATATGTTTGTTCTTAATGTCCCCTACCATATCTAAAAATTTTTTGGTATATTCATGGAACACCCTTCGTATGAAAAATTTATATCTTTGTATTGTTCACATATTTGATTAACAAATAACTATGTTTTCGGAACAAAAACAAACAAAGTGGCGAACGCACAACGAACTCTACTTGATAGTAAGTAAATAAAATATAGAATATTCCAGTTGAGAATGAAGTACATGTCAAGGACAATAGAGCCCCCTTCACATTCACAAAATGAAATGAATTCATTACTTGTTGAGTGAATAAGACAATATGAATATTTATGGTCGAAATTGAAATTATAGTATCTTGCTAGTGGATCGGTAACGGCAGACTGCAGATGCCTGTTTCTCTCGATTATTGTAATTATGCCTCATGATTAGTAACACTATAACAATATCAACATTTATAAAACATTGATAGGCAGTCATATCAACTTTCGATGTTTCTTAGACTGTTCATAGAGAGCCGAGGATCCACTAACCACATTAATTGTTCATCATCAATAACGAAGAGTTGATTAGACCTTGGTGCTAACTCACCTGGCGTCTAGATCAATGAATAGCAAGGTGAAACAGTTTCTATCTATCTGTCCGCTATATTATCAACTGGAATATACTTAATTTAACTGCATTCCAAATATAGGAAAACAATACAAATACACGTGAGATTTGTAAAGTTTGTTGACTTGTGGAAAAGGTTCAACAAATTGCCAAGAAGACAATAATAAATGAACACAGCTCTGAAGTTCGCAGAATCAATATTTTGATGAAATTTATTTAGAAAAAGTTATGTGGGTCAACTTAGATTATTGTCCTTCGGAAACCTCATCAGTATCTTCATGTGAAATAGCATAACATATTCTCTGAGGTTAGGTAATCAGTTTTTTTTTCAAGAAAGACTACGTCAATTGAGGACCTCCTGTCTCTCTCGTCCTTCATCCCTACCAACATGTTATAGTCTTAATTTGACCAGCATGGTGCTGCTTTTGACATTTGACAATGTGTGTGCAAAATTAATCACTTTAAAGTGGTGAATTATTATTGAAAATCTGTACTCAGTTATTTATTTTTGGTTATCAATTATATTTATAATATATTATAATTGTCACAGTTTTCAAGAGCTAGTCACTAATAACCTTCATGTAGGTTAAATTAGATCAAAACTAGAGCATATCTATAGTTTTTTCTATAGGTGCAGTGTGGCATTTCTCATTCAGATTTGAAGTTATGCGTTCTTCGAATTTCAGATTGAATAGGGAAAACGAGGAATATTGCAATCACTGAAATTTTTTTCAACTAAGTACAGTTTTTTATAGGATATTTATATTCTATTCAGAATTGCTGAAGATGCAGTTGTTCATTTGACTAAGCGTTTTTATTCATTCTGCTTATTTAAATTATCTTTCCTAATTTGTTACCATATTATTGTAATTGACATCGATTTCGTTTGAATTTTTTCAGTTCTATTACAGATATTTCACTATTTTTATATTTGGTCTTTGTCAAATTATCTTTGGCTCGCAAATTTACGGAAAATTTTGTCAGTTTCATTGTGGACATCTGTTTCACTAATGATAAGCTAATAATTTGCTCTAATTTGCATCTGAAATAATATAAAATATCCGGCCCATACTGACTTCTTCATATCAATTTCTCAAAATATATTGATAAATATCGTTCAATCCTGTAGAGGTATAATTTATAAACCTATTATTTATGTACTGTTGAATCAAAAATATGAATAATTGAATTTTTTCAATAATCAATTTCAATAATTCAATTGTAAAACATGATGTTAGTTCGACGGCTTAACCAAATATATAATTCTTATATATCTTCATCCTTTTTATCCTTCACTTATATTAAATATAAGAAGTCAGTGTGTTTTCACCCCAATTTATTGTTTTGCTTTTTTAGTTGTCGGTGTTTTTGTAGTATACTTCATTACATTATTGACTAGATTACAAACATGCCTTGCTGCAAATGTTAAAAAAACTAATATGTTGTGTTATATTTGGTAGATTTTAATTGAAACAATAACTGTTTCATTATTGATTGGCCAGCAGTGGATAAACACCGGTCCTTTCACAGTTTTATTTTTTTTATATAGAAAAAGTTGGTGATATTTTAAATAGCATTGCTTGTGTTCTTTTCAACGTACTATATTAGTTTATACCTACCTCCTCTACTAACCATCTTCAACTTCCCCGCATGTATTCAGGATGAAATTCGACTTCCGATATGTTTAGAGCGAGTAGCTAGATCACAATGGAACAGTTCGTGGTACACGTAGATAGTTTGTTGTTAGGTTGGAATGTGCATGTCAGATCGTCTCAAGTCCGTCAGTCCGTGTGTCCCGAGTTGGCTGTGTTGTCTAAGGTTGCACCTTTTACACCCATCGCGGCCTTTATATCACGCTCCCACCTGGTATACATAATTTTCTGTCTGCTACATGCTAGTCTCTTGTCTGTACCTTATCTGGATTACTAAAGAACAAGTGCTCAATCTAAACCTACCACTGCTGCAATGAAGCATACAACATCGACATTTAATCGATATTTTGTCATATAGCCAGCGGAACCATTGAAAGAAACTGAGGTATAGGGAACCGGTGGGCACATCTAGCTACAATCAACAAGTATGTAGTTTACAGTAGGCAATGTAGCTGACATGCGATATATGCCCTGTTTGATGCACAACGATGTAGGTGTCTTGAAGCAAAACCCTTGAATGTCTTGTTGCCCCCCTCCCCTGTACCTCGTGTTTAGCCGTTAGTTGATATAGGTGGATTTTTAGAATTCATCCAACCACTAGGGAGTGCTTGTCTTCTCTTCTCGTCGGACAACACAGCCACACGTGAGGTTCGGACTGTGTGACTGGCACAGTTTTCAATGAAAAGTATTCAAAGTCAGTCGTTGAAGATGTTAGGTTAAGTAGCTGCCCTGTGATTGAAAGAATGGAATCTGAGCAGTTGGGGAAAATTGATTCAAATCGTATCGACAATTTTCTCTAAGCACGAAAATAGGCGTCAGCTTTTGGATTACCTACTTTCATTGATATCCAGTAGTCGGCATTTATTCATGGATACAAGATATTTGGTCATGTTAGTTTCGCGTCCCAAAATCGTCCTATTTCGCGCATGACGTCATTCTGGTCACAGAATCTTGCAGGAAACGAAATTCGCGAGTCTTCAGATCATTAATATTATTGTTGTTCTCGGAAACATTTCGTAATTTTTGTTGATCGTGATTTCGAACAAAAGATATTTGAAAAGGCCTAACTATGCACACGCAAATTTGTCATAGAAATATTTAGAAGACTGGAATGAAATACTTCCCGTGATTTGGTAATGATCACAGCAAATGAGATGAAGTATCAGCATCCAGAGAGAATCAATATTATGATAAGTTACTAATACCTGAATATTATTTCATATCACGAGTGTGCGATTCATTTTGAATATACGTCATTTCAAATTTCTCTGAAGCAACAGCTGTGGAAAAACCAAATAGAAAACAGAAAGTTAGAAGTTGGTGCGGCTGCATCATCTTCCATTAACACTATTATAGAATCAGAAGTTACAAACTACGTCTCGTCGATTGCCTTTTTGACTGTTCAAAATTCCGATGAAATAATTATTATTTATCAATTTTCAAAAGTTATATTTTTGTTATAAGGTTTAAAAAATCTGCGAATAATTGAAGTATCCAGGAATTATATAACATCATGATGGGCGAGTGGACTGATAATGGAATTATTGGCATTCAATTAGTCCACTGTGTCGTTAGGAACCTAAATTAATTTTTGCAACACTTCTCACGCTCTTTATATGTAAATAATAAGTCTATGCATTGTTCAAAATCGTTAACTTTCAGAGCTCATTTCAAACGTAACATCATGGCCGTTATTTGGCGATATGTTTGGTGATGTCAGTTTTTATGCTGTTTCGTTATTGGTCGTATAATCTTCCATTTCCACTCATGAAGCTAGGTTGTCAAGTCACCAATTATTATCAAGTTATCAAAAACATATTAGAGTCTTGTCTTGTTGAATAAAACAGGAGATGAAATAAAGTAGGAAGAAGCCATGATATTATAGTTCATTCTTGACTTCTTCGAGCAACCAGCATGTTCAAATATTTCTTATACTCCAAAACAAAATATCATGTAAATGTAGAAGAGTTGGCGAAAATGTGATGAATGCTGAGAACTGACAAGGCACGACCGCCCACAATTCGTGCGCCATGGAGGAACTCATGACATTATAGTTAATTCTTGACTTTTTAGAACAGCCAGCATGTTCAAATATTTCTCATTCTCCATAACAAACTATCATGTGAATGTTGGAAACTTGGCAACATTGT